TTTCTCAGTGGTTACCTATGTGCAAAGTGTTGGGGGTGACCATTTGGGAAAAGGGAGATTAAATTCCCCTTTCAGTCCAGCACAGGCAGAGATCACTAGAAGAGCTGGGGCATCAGGAACCAGGCAACCAGTGGGTAGCTTGCAAGTCATCATGAAATGAGCCCCACTCCTCAGCTGCCTAAGAGTTCCTGCAATCATCCTGACAGTATCTCTGTGCCCAAGGGATGTAAAAATAGAAAACTAAATAAAAACAGCCATGTAACTTTTCATAGAAATAAAGAAGTTTTGCATGTTAGTAACTTTAAGAGAACTCCCTTGAAGAACAATTTGAACACAAACCTGCTATAATCTGAATCTTTGTGTCTTCCCCAAGTTCATACATTGGAAACCTAACCAACCATATGAAGGTAATAGGAGGGAGGAGGCTTTGGGAGGTGAATAGGTCATGCAGTTTCAACTTCAGAAATGAGACTAGTGCCTTAGAAAAGGGACCCCAGGGAGGCCCCATAGCATTTCCACCATGAGAAGAAATATTCTGGAAGTGTCTTTCATGAACCTAAATTCAGGTCCCACTACAATCAAAATCTACCTTGTTCTTGAACTGTCCAGACTCTATAAAAATAATATTCTAGTGGTTACAAACCACCCAGTCTATGGCATGCTGTGATAGCAGCAGGAATGACTAGGACAGGGCTCCACATTTTCATTTTTCCCTGGAATGCACAAAATATATGACTGCTGCTCTTGAGTGTGGGGTAAAGAAAGCAAGGAGAGGACACTTGGTTTTGGGTAAGAAAGAGAGGGAAGAAAATTAACTAAATAAGGAATGAGGTTTTGGGACCAAAAGGTTGTGAGCAGATAAGAGAAACAAAAGATATAACAGATGCAGGAGAAGGAGGAAGAGGGGTGTTTTCATGAGCGTTTTTGCTTCTGCGACCAAAGAACATGACAAGAACAATTTTAAGAAAAAAAAGTTTATTTTAGGTCTCAGTTTCTGAGCTCTTAGTCCATATATGGCCAACTTCACTCCTCAGGGCCCAAGGTGAGGCAGGACATCATGGCAGAAGAGTGTGGCAGAGGAAAGGACAAAATATATACCCCAAAGGCACACCCCAGGAGCCCACCTCCCTCACCACATCTACCAGCACAAAATTACACTCAGTCCCTGTCTGAGGATTTATGTACTGATAGGGTTAAGGCTCTCGTGACCCAGTCATTTCACCTTCAAACCTTCTTGCACTGTCTCACACATGAGCATTTAGGGGACACCTCATACCTAAACCATAACAAGGGAAGTATAAAGGGAGGGGAAGAAGAATTCAAAGTTTCTTTCCCCCTGACTGTCCCCTGGCAGAGAGGCTCCTGATGAGGACGCAGGTAGCAG